AAAAAGAAGGGACACAAAACTTTTTGATAAAATATCTCAAGCCATCTGATAAATTGAAAGCAAAGGGTCTCAGGCATTCTTTTAATCTTTTGTTTTTCAGATTAAATAGACTTTTTAATTGTAAGATAATTTGTGCCTTTTAAAACTAAACACTGAATTCCTTACATCATAAAACTATTTTACAGCCTTGCATATTTTAGCAATTCAAATAAACCTTTCTCAAATGATCCAGAAAGTCCAGTTGATGTCACGCTTTGGTCATTGGCGCCGAGTAGCTTTCCAGGGAAACTTTTACTACCACGCTACCTAAAATTATAAAAAAAAAAACCAGAGACTGAACTAAGAATCCACAGTATGCAAAGAAATAACTTTTCACCTTTCTTCGCCTTTCTTCTAGGGATGTTTCAGGTATGAAGCATATGTGGTAAAAGGGTGCTCACTGGTAGTATATATGTAATTTCAAAAAAGAGAGGAGTCACCTACCAATAGTATAAGTGTGGGAGGAACCAGCGACAAACAGCACTGAAAAGCTATTAAAATATGTGATATGGAAACTAGGGTCAGGATTGCTTCAGAGCAGAAGAGAACAACAAACCCACCCCCTCTCTGGAGCATCTTAAAGCAATTATGCCACAAAATCCCCAGATAAGAGGCAGCTACTTAAAACGTTGCAGTAAATTTGAGCTTCCACGCATCCTGAAACGCTTTTGAGGAATTAAATCTAAAGTACTGCACAGGCCTCAAAAAGAAACATCAAAACAGAGATTAATTTATTTTGACAAAATAAAATTAATTTAGGCTGATCCTGCTATCCTTTGTGTGCTAGTTTACACTGAAAAGCAGGTTGCTCCCCTAAGCGCCAGTGCCAATTTAAACAATCGTGGTTCAACTGGAGATTTCTCTATTTCAGAGGAAGTACCCTTATAATCCAAATGATTATTTTTAGCGGTGGTTGAATTTAAGATGGGTGACCAGGAAATAAATTCCACTGAACCTAGAGAAATTGCTTCTCATAGAAAACATGTTTACATTTTGTTTACGTTTAAGACTATATCTTGAATTTCCAATCCATATTAAAGGAAGCAGCTGATGGATCAGTTATCAGAATTTTCTGTTCTTCATACAAAGAAAATGGAAGCTTTCTTCTGAAAACCATGTATACTTAATGCATACAGTTACTGAAAAACAGAATAATACAAATAATATATTGCAAGCACAAAAAAACAAGTAATATACATTACTATATGTTAACTGTTTATCCATCCAGAATTTTTAATCTTATTACCACATCACTTAGGAACATTAATAAACACAACAAGAGGAAAAGAATGTATTTTTTTTCCCTTAAGAACGATGTAAGCTATTTCCATATGAGTAGTATATGTAATACCCAGGTACTTGGATCCTTATTTTATATGGCTCTTTCACAGAAAAACAAAGCTTTAATTGTTATGTACAAGACTAAGTTCTTATCACATATATTTTCAGTGCCATTACGATTTTTTTAAAATTTAAAAAAAAATCTAAATAGTTTTACCTGTATAGACAAATATTTGGGGCTGTTGTTGCAAGTGACTGTTATTTATTATAGCTTTTTAATGTACTTAACCTGCATATTTAGGATAGTAAAACACTCATATTCACAGTTACTTTAGAGAAAGGACATATTTTTGTGGGCATTTTCCCTTCGAGTTGAATATGTAGGACAGCAAAAATTACATAAAAGGTTCCAGCAATATACTTTTATGGAGAATATGTTATCGGTATTAAAAAAAATTACTCAGCCCACCCTGAAGTTACATATTATGAGCTACACAAAATCTAAAATGTAGGGTCTTTTCACAGTACAATACACTAAATGAACACATAGTAGATTAAAAGATGTGAATTCAGAACTTCTGCTTAAAAATTTAAAGTTTCTGACATCATCTTCCACCATTCCATTAGTTCTTCCTTTTCCTCTTCTTTTCTTTCAGACAATGATTCCAAGTCAAAATCAACCTAGAAAGAGGAAGCAAACATGAATTCTAATATTCTTAATTTATAAGTGAAAAAAAAAATGGATTTATTAGCTAAAATTGTATGTATCCTAGACTTAAGTCCATTTCCCCACCAAAGACTTACAGCATTGTCTCAAATAACCCAGCCATCACTGAGAAGATACATGGATGGATCAGAAACAGTGATGATGATTCTAGAATAGGGCTGTCAAACTTGCGGGCCGTGGGCTGGATGCATCACACACTGGCCATGCCCACCCCTGGTTTAGCGAAGGGGGGGAAAGTCGCAATGTGTCACATAACGACATGACGACACAAGTCTGACACTCCTGTTCTAAAAAATCTGCCTCACAATACATCAACTGAAACCAATGAGAATCATAACTAATGAAATTCTGACTTATTTCAGTAATTCTGCATTAAGTCTACCTCTCAATGATGTAGCACCCCAATGAAATATTTAAGTCTGCAATCGTATTTTTTCATATGTTTTTCTTTTAATCCTCTACCCGTACCACCTTCCTATTATATCTTAATGAATTTGACATTCCATGAAAATCTTACACTAAAGCAGGAATATTTTCTGGATAAGGGCTATAGGTGGCAGTATGACTTTTCTTTTTGTATCTAGGATTTATTTTAGCAGAGAATTTAGAGAAAGGTTTTCACTGCTTTTAGCTAACAACCTTTTAAGACAGGAATGAAGAAAAGGCTTTCTGTAATGAAAATACCAAGCTAAGTAAAAACCAAGTTCTTGTTTTCAATTCGAAGCATAGACAGTGGTGCTTAAACTCTTGATTTTTAGATATTTCTGCATAAACATGACTTTAAAAAATGAACTATTTTCCCACCAAGTCCTAAAGCTAGGTAAAGTGAATGCATTTAAACAAATGAATAAAAAACGCTATACTTGTTCATTTCTTCATTGAGGCAAAGCTACATATAAGTGCATGACAAAAGTATGCGAACCTTTGCTTAGATCACATGAAATGATAGCACTGCTTTATACTGCCCTGGTAAAATAATTGGAATACTTGGAATCCAGTTTTGGTCACCAAAATCCAAAAATATGTTGAGATTCTAGAAAGAGCGCAGGAAAGAGGAACACAGATGAGAAGGGGCCTGGAGGCTAAACCATATAATGAACAATTGAAGGAACTAAGTATGTGTAGTCTACTGAAGAGAAGGTCTACGGGTGACATCATATCAGCAGTATTTGAGGTGCTGTCATGGAGAAGAGGGGTCAACCTATTCTCCAAAGCATGTGAGGACGGGAGAAAAAGTAATGGGTGGAAGATAATTAAAAGGGGATCCAATCTAAGAACTAAGAAGAAATTTCCCGATGGGGGAATAATCAGTAGAACAGCCTGTCTCCAGAAGTTGTGATTGCTCCATCACTGAATGACATAGAATCTTTTGTTTGAGAAGGGCATTGGGTTAGAAGATCTACAAAGTCCCTTCAAACCCTATTAGTCCATGTTTTAGTAATTGATGGGCTCCTTCCCCTCTCAACAGAGCAGGGTTCCTCAAACTTGGCAACTTCTAAGACTTGTTGTGGACTTCAACTCCCAGAATTCTGGAAGTTGAAGTCCACAAGTCTTAAAAGTTGCCAAGTTTGGAGACCTCCGCAACAGAGGAATAGCAGCTGCAATTCAACATTTCTGAAAATTGTTGATCAGTCCTTTATGCTCCCTTGGGGATATTTCAGCCCATTGGTCTCCTTACAGACTCAGAGATGTTGATGGCTTACTTGCAGGCGCTGCCTACTTCGGCTTCTTGAACATTTCTACAATATTAAAGTCAATGTTATATCTAGTTGTAGGAATTGTGTGGAGAACAAATCTTGTTTTACGCCATGCCTATGCAGAAATATTTAACATTCAAATGGGTTCAGATTTTTAAGTGCCACTTGTACCCGGTCTAGATTTGAAGGATTGAATTGGTTTTATATTGCTGTCTATGGATATTATATGGATCTTTCTTTGAATGTTCCTTCTTTTGTTGTATCTGCTTTACTGTAACCACTGTAATATAAAAGCAAGTTTTCTTTTATTCATTGCAAAAACCACTGTTGATCCTTTCCCCCCAATGTTGTATTATATTTTGTTTGCTCGCCTTTCTCTCTATTCCTTTCTGACAGAATTTTTATTTCCCAAGTCAGAAATACTGAAAATATTTCACAGAGTTCCAATGAGACTTGATGTACAAAACATTAAAAAAAAAAACAATTAAGATAGGAACGGGCATTATAAGTTAAATGCAAAAATGGTATCACTTACCCTAATCGCAGGACTAAAGGGAACAGCCACTTTTTTAGTGATTGCTAGATAGCCCGGTGCTGAAGCTGTCACTTTATAATTTCCAGGTACCAATAGCCTCCAGTAATCACCATCCTTTGCTAAAGAAAAGAAAGATGCCACTATTTTTGGAAAACTTTTAGGAACGTGCTTCAGTTGCACTGAAATGTGGCTGATCTGGTTTGTTTTCTAATTAGAATCTCAGGATGCAACCGGAGCCAGGTGCAAAATACAAGAGTGATTTTGGAAAGAAGAAGAAAAGGCCTTTTTACTGGAACCCAGTGTATTTTTGTTCTTCCCATCTTAAAGCATGAAAACATAAAACCTTGCATTATTTTTAAGATATTTATGAGCATTAGCAATTTTTCTCAGGGAATGCCTTAATATAATGCAAGGCTTTATGTTTCATTCTTTTTTTCTGTAAAAAGGACAACTGGATTAAGACTCCAGGCAATAAGAGAAAGGACTGCAGTTTTGCAAATATCAATTTTAATACAGCAGGTCTGATTGACTGAGAGCGAGCAACTTTATCTGAATTTGTCCAGTTCTGAAATAAAATATAAAAACTTATTTTCAGTTTCTTTTGTATAGGAGTTCAGCATAGTTTTCTCTACTCATTGGCCGACGTTTGATAGATATCATCTATTTTCATTAGAGGCCATTAATCCTGGACGTTTTGTCCATTAAAAGTAGTTTTATTAAACTGCGGCCTTCCAGTTATAGTTAAATGAAGGCATAAAGATTTGAATTTCTGAACTGAGATTCAGATTTCATCCTGAGTGAAACAGGAAAATGGGCTCATCCTACATAAGTCTAACAATGCTGTTTTCTAGTTCCAATGTTTATTTTAAAGATCCGAACACACATGCTAGAAGTAGAAACATTGCTTTTCTTTTTGGTGATGCCTCTCCGTATGAAAAAGAACATTTTGGCCATTGGAAGTTTTCCTCAGTGGCAAGAAAGGCTAAGATTGCTTTTGCAATTCTTCTTCTACTGATATGCTCTTTGCTTTCCAAAGTCATATGCAAGGAATGCATCCCACCACCCTCCAGAAAATATAAAAGGATTTTTTTATATTCATCCATGTATCAGCATTCATCAAATATCTCAAAGTGGCACATATGAATACTTACCTGAGGTAATATCATGGTTTATTCCCTCTACAGAAACTGTGGCATTAGCAATCGGATTACCCTGAAGATTTCTAACAAATCCTTTTATTCCTCGATGTATCTTAAAAATAAAGCACAAAAAATCTTGGTATTTCTCTAAATTAAGAGATGGTATTCAGCAAGTTCTGACCAGTTCCGGAAAACTGGCAGCAGGCATTTTGAGTAGTTTGGAGAACTGGTAGTGGAAATTTTGAGTAGCTCGGAATGCCACCTCTGACTGGCCCCGCCCCCATTTATTCTCTGCCTCCCGAGTCCCAGCTGATCGGCTGGGTCTTCTTTGGTTGCCCTGCACAAGAGAACAGAGCTGGAAAGCAGGTTAGTGGGGTGGGGAGGGAATGGGGATTTTACAGTATCCTTCCCCTGGAGTGGGATAGGAACAGAGATTTTGCAGTATCCTTGCCCTGCCATGCCACCAAGCCACGTCCACCAAGCCCCGCCCACAGAACCAGTAGTAAAAAATTTCTGAATCCCACCACTGCTCTAAATAATATATTTACAAAAGAAAAGAAAAAAACAACTTAGAACAATTCACCACTATTCGCTTTCTATTAAAGTTAGTAAATTCAGTCTCAGAGAAAATTTCTGTACTGGATAAACGTATTTCAGATCATTGTCAGTATGAGCATGTAATGTTTAGAGCCTGTTGCTGGTAGACCAGGGGTGGGATTCTACTGGTTCGCACCTATTCGCTAGAACCGGTTGTTAACATTCTAAGCAGCTCGGAGAACCAGTTGTTAGAAGAAATTCCTGGCCTAATCCTGTAAGGAAGGCAGGAAGGAAACATTCTGAGGTTATTTACAGAAACTGTCTCTCCATTAATCCTTATTACATTCTTGGCAGGACTAGACTTCCTGTCTCTGGAACTTCTCTGGAAGTTTTTTCCCCTCCTTTGCTGGTACTTTGCTTGTGTGGAGTGACCATTCAAAGTTACACTTACGACTGTTGCAGCATCCCCACAGTCATGAGAGGCCAGGTAAGGAGATGCATGCCTCGATGTGCGTGATATTGAGTTGGCCACATCCAGCCAATAACACGACCACCAAGCCACGTCCACCCAGTCACATGACCACCAAGCCATGCCCACCAACCAAGCCACGCCCACAGAAACGGTTGTTAAAAAGTTTGAATCCCACCCCTGTGGTAGACTAATCATAGAACCTCTTCAAGCAATATTTTGAAAATTGCTGAATGCTCATTTGACTTTCAAAACCTCTAATTATTGTTTCCAGGAAGGAGGCAGTAGCAAACCACTTCTGAAACCTTTGGTAGGGAAACTGCAAGGACTTGCTTCAGGAGCCAAAAGTGACTTAAAGGTACACCTCCTCCTTTCTGTTTCACATTTTACTCAAACTGATGAACTGGTTACCAGATTCAGAACAAGCCACAAAATTAAAGTAACCTTATGATTTTTAAAACATGGCCAAGTTTGAAAGTGAGTTGGTAAAACAGAAAACTATCATTTAAATAGAGACTTCCTCATTCAACTGCATTTTGTGCAAAGGGGATAGGTGTAGACAAGGTATTTTTAAAATATAACTGTGTAAATATAGCCATCAACAAAATATAACTGTAAATATAGCCATCAACATGAATAAACCCATTCTGTAGTTAAGTGGTTGGGTGAGTTTTTAATCAGTGGTTTCACATGTCAAGCTTTAGACTCAACTGTTCAATGTCTGATTTCAGGAAATAGTCCTTCCTTAGTTACAGAATTGGGAATTAGATTCTCAAAGGGTCACTCTATTCTCATTTCAGAAGTTAATATATTCACTTAGTTCTGATAAGGCTATTTTCCCAATCAGTGTAATGGTGTAGTTTTTAATACTTGTAGAACAACAAAAGGGTCTATTTTTAGACCCGTTATCAATATTTGCTATAGCGGAACATGTTGATTCTCTTTTCTGGAAGTTGTGCATCTCTGTATGTGTTTGTGTTTCTGCAGTTGTTCCATGTGCCAATATGTGTGCATTGGGAAGCATGATACATGTGACAATTCTAGATCACGTGACTAGGACAAGGCTTTGGACTACCTCAGTCACCAGTTTCAAGTTGCTCCCAGCTGCCTATTCTATCGGAATGCACTGGGAAATTTTCTTTTTCACCATCTTCAGCATGATGCCTATTTTTCATCTCCACCTTTCTTTGTCCTGCCATACCAAATCTGTTCCCTGTTCAGTTTTCAGAAAGATATCATGCTGACAAACAAAACTTGAAAGGAAAAAAAAAATTCCAACTATGAGTTAGATACAAGTCAGTACGAGTTTGTTGAGAACTGATCATGCCAAACCAATCTTATTTCATTCTTCAACATAATGACTAAATTAGTAGACCAGCAAAATACTGTGGACATAATATATTTAGATTTCAGCAAGGCATTCGACAAAGTAGACCATAATCTACTTCTTAGTAAGCTAGAAAAAGGTGAAATAATTAGCACTACCACTAGATGGATTTGCAACTGGCTGACAAACCGTACTCAACAAGTAGTCCTTAATGGGTCTAAGTCTTCATGGAGGGAAGTAAGCAGTGGGATGCCACAAGGTTCTGTCTTAGGCCCAGTACTCTTCAATATCTTCATTAATGACTTAGATGAGGGAGTAGAAGGGAAACTTACCAAATTTGCAGGTGATACTAAGCTGGCAGGAATAGCCAACACCCAAGAAGATAGGCTCAAGATCCAGATGGATCTTGACAGATTAGAATACTGGGCCGTATCTAACAAAATGAAATTCAATGTAGAAAAAAGTAAAGCCCTACACTTAGGCAAGAAAAACCAAAAGTACACATATAGACTAGGTGAAACCAGGCTCAATAGCAGTAACTGTGAGAGGGATCTTGGAGTCTTAGGGGACAACCAGCTAAATATGAGCCAGCAGTGTGCAGCAGCAGCCAAAAAAGCTAATGCAATCCTAAGTTGCATCAACAGAGGGATACAATCAAGATCAAGTGAGGTACTAATACCACTCTATAAAGCCTTAGTAAGACCACACCTAGGGTACTGCATCCAGTTTTGGTCACCACATTATAAAAATGATGTTGAGTCTCTAGAAAAAGTACAGAGAAGAGCAACCAGGATGATGAGGGGACTGGAGACTTAAAACATATGAAGAACGGTTACAGGAACTGGGCATGACTAGTCTAGTAAAGAGAAGGACTAGGGGAGACATGATAGAGGTCTTCCAATATTTGAGGGTCTGCCACAGGGAGGAAGGGGTCAAGCTATTTTCTAAAGCGCCTGTAGGCCAGGCAAGGAATAATGGATGGAAACTGAACAAGGAGAGATTCAACCTGGAAATAAGAAGAAACTTTCTGACAGAACAATGGAACAGAAGTTGCCCTCGGAAGTGGTGGGAGTGCCATCACTTGAGATATTCAAGAAGAGATTGGATTGCCATTTGTCAGAAATGGTGTAGGGTCTCCCGCTTGGATTGGGGTGGTGGTGACTAGATGACCTATAAGGTCCCTTCCAACTCTGATTATCTGTTAAATGACAAGCTGGCACAAAGAAGCTTAATATAAATATAAAATTACATGAAGATAGTTTTGTCTACTGAAGAACTAGGTTTCATGTGCTGACTGGTCCCTCATGAGCCTTCCAGCTGTAGAACAATGAAGAAAGCAAGTACATTATAAGAAATGGATAATGATTCTTGAGAAGTGGTTATTGGGTACCATGAATAGAGTGGGCATGTTCCCAGAAGGGTGATCTTTGGGTTATAGAATTCATCTGGTTACTAAGACAAATTGAGGAGGAGGAACATGGGAATCTTCTATAAGAGCCAGATGCTTCTTAGAGCTGGTTAAAGTGAAATCATATGTGATTTATACATGTCATCAGAGTGTGTCATCAGAGTATAAGTAGAAAATCTTGGGCACATGAAGTTCTCTATATGTACAGGGTTTGTCTTCTTAAGATTCCTGCTTGGCCACAAGTCAGGTGCTGTCAGGTGCAAAGGATCAAGACTATACATTCAAAGCTTTCATGCTTAAGCCTATATTTTATTCGGTGAACTTTGGTAGCTTTTCCAATGGCATCATGGTATCTCAAAATAAGCTGTCGATTTCAGAATTCTCCTAGGGTTTGGGATTACATTTAATGTAACAAATCTTTTAATTTGAACTATTTTTCCAAAGTAGAAACTGAAGTCAGATATACAAATAAAAAGTTCAAAATGATATCTATTAATTTTGATTCCACCTTTGTTTCTACTTCAAATCAACCTCAATCTTGTATAATTATAGCCACATAGGGTAATGCTAACACTTGTTTCTCTTCTACAATATATATTTCATAAACAAATTCATTGAGCTGAATGAGATGTAGCTTATGTGTAAACATGTATCATACTAAGGTGTTCACTAGGCTTTCTAGCAGTTCTATAAATTTCAACATGAAGGATGCAATTGTAATATTTACTCTTCAAATGCAACACTGAGTACCTGTCCTTTGCCAGAGAGAAAAGGTTGGTTGGTTTTACTACAAGGACAGGAAACCTGCAATGCTAATCTCCGAGTCCTCTTTATTCAGACACCACCGTCCTGTCTGATCTTGACTTCTGAAAACTGGCAGTGCTTTCTTTACATTGTGTTATGGCTCAGGATTCTGGTGACTCTGAATCTGAAGAAGCCATTCCAGCGGAACCAAGCAGAATGTGAACTTCAGAAGATCAAGCCGTGAATCGCTTGAGACTGATCAAACGGGGGCATTATCAGAATAGTTGGAACAGATAAGATACCGCTTTCAAATCTTCAGATTCAGCAAGTAAAAATGCTCATTGAGGCTCCTTGGCAAGTAAGGGGGTGACTGTCTTAATGAGAGGACAGCTGGCTGCAGACTGATTTAAGAGGTGGCCTTATTTTGCTATTGGAAGCCCAATTGCCTGTGTCTGGCATATTGTTTCTGTATATTCTGTTCATAGAAGAAATTCTGACTTTTGGACTAATAAGGAACCTGGCTTGACTGTTTGAACCTCTTTTCTGCATGCGCCTGTTTAAAGCAAAACCACTTAGTCAAGCTTTGTTTCTAGGGCATTCTGTTGATATGAATTTGCTTATCTGCTCTTTATCCGTACCATCTTAAGCTGTCACCTAGCAACTGCATGTTTGTGTGTTTGAAACAGGACACATTTGAAGGAAGTGGTAGTTCAAATGATGAGGTAATGAGCCATGATCACACAAAACTACACTGCTCAAAAAATAAAGGGAACACTTAAACAACACAATGGAACTCCAAGTCAATCACACTTCTGTGAAATCAAACTGTCCACTTAGGTAGCAACACTGATTGACAATCCATTTCACATGTGGGGACCACAGACCACTTCTCAGTTCCTATGCTTTCTGGCGGATGGTTTGGTCACTTTTGAATGCTGGCGGTGCTTTCACTCTAGGGAGGTCATACAGGCATTTGGAGGCCACACACACTACTGAGCCTCATTTTGACTTGTTTTAAGGACATTACATCAAAGTTGGATCAGCCTGTAATGTTGTTTTCCACTTTAATTTTGAGTGTCACTCCAAATCCAGATCTCCATGGTTTGCTAAATTTTATTTCCATTGATAATTTTGTGTGATTTTGTTGTCAGCACATTCAACCATGTAATGAACAAAGTATTTAATAAGAATATTCCATTCATTCAGATCTAGGATGTCTTATTTTTGTGTTCCCTTTATCTTTTTGAGCAGTGTATTTCTGGCTCTATATTCACCCAAAACTAAGCATAACACTTGATGGTCAACTAATGTCCTAACTTTGTTCTCCAGGAAAAATTTACCTGCTCAATGTAACTGATTAGTGAATTCTTGTTGTCCTCCCAATAGGTTTTCAGAGTTTCTTCTGGGGGGAATTTTTCACAGCTAAGCTCCACTGTGATTTCAAAGCAATTGCTGCTGAGATAATTGAAGTCTTGCATACCTATGTAATTACATATACAAAAGTTGACATTTAATAGGCAGTGAGTTCAAAAGCATATCAGATTAAAGTTAAGTGGAAATAATTAGCTGGAACCAGTTGGAATAAATAGATGCTTACTGTAGAAAATTCAAAACCCATATATGTGTGTGTGTGTGTGTGTGTGTGTGTTTATGGTACACATATACTGGTCTATTTACAAGACCTTCAGGCCAGGTAATAAGTTCTTGGACCAAAGTCTGAAGGGTAAGATAATGACTGATTTGCAATCATAGCTATATGTAAAGATCACGCCACATTTAATATTACATTTGGTCTATACATTTTGCTGATACATTTGGCTTCGAAAAATCCTACTTAGGGGTCAAAGAACTTCCAGGTATAATTCAACTGTTTCCAAGTAAAATGAGTGAATAACAGAGAATAACATCATGACCCGTGAAGCCTTGAAAACCAAGGATTTTGAAATGGGCTTCTTTTAAAATAGTGCGATTTCAAGAAACACAGTAGATCAGTGTTAATTATGAGATGGCAACTTATTTATGGTAAAGTCATTGTTTTCTACATTCTACTCAAAATTTTCCACTACCGGTTCTCCAGAACTGGTCAGAACCTGCGGAATACCACCTCTGGTACTAACCTATCAGGAACAAACCTCGTTTCTCAGCTGTGAAGGCCTTTCCTGAAGGCCTCTGACAGCAAAATGGAGGCTGGGGGCGATGGGTGCAAATGGTGGCAAGCAGCCACAGAAGAAGTGGGCCGACCAGAGAAGGTGGGTTTTTGGGGTGTGCAATGTCTGGCTGCAACTGTCCGAAAGTAAGTAGTAAGGCAGCTCCACTCTCCATCCTCACACTCATTTTTACTTTTGCGCCTCATCCCATCCCATGCACCCCAGAGTGGGAGGGATCTTAACTAGGGCTTATTTTGGGAGGGTAGGACTTACATTGGGCACACAGGTAAAATCAAGGTAGGGCTTATTTGGGGGGGAATAGGTCTTATTTTCAGGGAAACATTACTACTTAAACATCACTTCCTCCATTGATGCCTGCAGAAATTCGTTGTGAAAGACAAGCTTTTTCTAGATCACCCTGTGACAGAAAAAGGAGCAACCTCACCAATAGCCTGCAAATCCTTCTGGCAACAACTATGTGAGTTCTATGATATTTGAAGAATTTAATACATTATGTGCTCTATAAACATGATCTCGAATAAATCATATTTGGCTTAGATTTTTTTTTACTTTCAGTTCTATTCTGATGTACTGCATGCATAAGATTAAAACGTTGTATTTCAGCAAACACAAACCTCCTGGAACGCTATACCAAGCACCACCATTAGTGGTCCCATCAATGAAACTGCTGTCGTCATCATTCTTGCGACATGGTGGCCGATTCGGGTTTGACATGACTGGATTAAAAGACGAATAGCTCCGAGCTAAGCTTTGGAAAACAGCGTCGTCAGGACAGGAGCTGTATTCATGTGCACTTCCTGAGGGAGCAGTAGTAAATACGTAATAGAAGACGAAAAGAAAAAGAAAGAATGTAGGCCAGTTTTAATTATCTGAACCTAGGTCATTTAAAATACAGGCTTATCCATGACAAGAGCTTCATAGGAAGACCATTGGTGTTTAATTAGAACAGTCACATTGAGATACATATTCTTCTTAATAAGTTGTTTCAGCAACATGAAAAAACTAAAACAAAACTAAAGTAAGAAGAATGGTATATTTTCATCCTCATTATTATGCCCCTAAAACCTACTCCAGAGTTATTTTCCCCTCCTCTTCCATGGGCTTGTTGTGGTTCACCCGCAGCAGGTGAGGATGACTGAGGTCTCGTAGAGTGAGGACTCGGATGAGGGGCCTGCATGTGATGCAGGGATGGGACCAGGACCATCAGGGAGTGGAATGGTGCCTTCGGAGCTTGTGGAGGCTGGCAGCAGTGATGAAGAGGACCCCAAGGAGCCTGTGCCCAGTGCGTGTGTGCACAGGGCTGTTCGAAGAGCAGCGGCAGCAGCACGGGCAACTCGGGAGTAAGGCTGCAAGGTGATGGCCGCTCCCTTAAGGGATAAAAGCCAGCCCTCAGAGGTGGGATTCTTTGCAGGAAGCAAAGAAGTTCTTGCACTTCAAGTCGTGCAATTTAAACTAGTGTTCTTAGAAGCCTTGGAAAACCTTGGCAAGGCTTGTTCTTATCTGGGACAATTAGTTTTTAATAGCGATTTACTGTGAATGAACGGAATTCACAGAGAAACATTAAAAAGGTTTTGCTTTTATCTTTGTTCGGTGTTTGTTTGCTTTGAACAAGGCTTGGGTCAGAAAACAGGGTTCTTCTAGCCTTAAAAGGGAAAAAAAAAGTTGTTTTGTTGATTAAGAAAACTACAATATACCATAAAGAAAAAAAGAAGAAGAAACTCTGCCTCCCTACTGATTAAAAAGAAGAAAAAAAAGTTTATTCTGGGAAGTCTGCAGTAACAGGCAAAAAGAGACGAAATTAAAACTTATAAATAATACAAAAGATAGAGTAATTAAAATAATGGACAGTAAAATTTAATCTGTCCAGGTTGGGAATGTGGTTCTCAGCATGCTGTTCAGAACTCAGCACAGTCATTAAGCTGACCAAGGCTATTCAGGCTTGGATTTACCATACATACCAGTCCGAGTCTCATCATATGGGTAATTTGCCACAAGGTCCCCACCATGAAGATTGGCAGACAGTACAAAGGGAATATCCATTATCCAGTGAATCACACCTTTTGTTTCTGGTGCAAGCTATGGCAGAAATTTATAAAAAAATGATAGTTCATTAGAGTCCTGCAGTAAGTGCTGCACCTTTCTTTGTAGAACAAAATTAAAACAGCTTCATCCGTTTTCAAACGTTTGCCCAGGGATGTAAAATGGAATAAAATAGACTTGTTTCATATGGGATGTATTTAATTATGTACCCTTACTATATAATATTTCAACAGAGTATCTGAACGCAATACACAGATTAACTATTAGTGAATGCAAATATAGGTATTATTTATTGCAATATGCCTATGATATAATCAAGTTCTGCTCTGTCTCACACTCATAATCTGATAGTTATCAGAGACCCAGATTTCCAGTAAATAATAATTAAGTACTAGCAAAACAAAAAGGACTTATAAAATCCGGATAGGAATCCTAGGGCTGGAGGGTGATGTCACTAAGAAGGTTCTTCCTTCAGATGTTGTTGTGATCCATCTCCTCACATGGCCTAATGGTCAATCTTCTCTACTGTCACATACAAAGCTACAGCGAAATGGTTCACAACATGGGACACTCTTAGACATCTCTGGAAGATCACTCAGCTCTTACCTTTCTCCGTTTTCTCCTATTCTGACACTTCTTACCATTCCCGTTTTGACTCTGTCTGGTACAAAGATAGTAAAGGGGAAAGAAAGGAGCAGAGGAACGCTAACACACTCATCTCTTCTCAGCCATTTTCTCTCTCACGAAACGCCTCACTCCTTGCTCTGGCAACACACAGTTAGCAGTTTCATAGATCCCATTGTGTACTAAACCAGTGGTCCCCAACCTTTTTTGTGCCACAGCATCACAAAATGATCCGCGGCCCGGTACCAGCATCAGCACGCATGACAAGGCAAAGCGAGCCGACCAACCGGCCAGCCAGCTGTCCCCCGCTTCTCCCCACCACCTTCAACTCCTCCTTTGTACCTTTGTCGATGGGCTTCGCTTCAGGGTGGCTTCGGGATGGTCGCTCGGCTCGCCTTGCCTTGGGTGCTGAAAGAATCCTTGCGCCTTAGTTTCGTTCAAAGCCCCCACTTCGATGAAACTAAGGCGCGAGGATTCCTTCAGGACCCAAACGCTGCTTTCCAACCGGAAAAGCTCACCCGGAAGCACTTTCTTGTCAAACAAGATGGCGGCGCCCAGCAAACTGGCGGCCCGGTAGGAAATGCTCCACGGACCGGGATCGGTCCGCAGCCCGGTGGTTGGGGACCCCTGTACTAAACAACAGAAGTAGTGGGAGCCAAAGGGCAAATGAATCACATACCAGCTTTTTCTGGTTGACTTCACAGGTGATGTCTTGCTCTACATGTGATCATTGTAAGCTGAGATAAGAGACTTCTGTGCAACACATGCTCTTTGTAAATGTGATTTCTATGGCACATATTTCATCAGATGGCACGAGGATTATAATTGTGGGAAGGCTTAAGTGGTTTTATGTTGCTTAATATTTCATATTGCTTTCTTCTGTAGCTCTTCCTGCCTAGATTTTCTTGTTTGATTATAATGACCATTTTTCATATTATAATGACTATTTATCATATTCTCGTAACGACGTTTTTTTCTTCTGTTGAATTGTATCTGATTCTTGGATACTGCATGGACATGTCCCTGTAGTTTTCTTGACAATGTTTGTCAGAGGTATTTGCCAGAGCTGAGAGAAAGTGAGTAGCCCAAGATCATTCAACTAGTTTTGTGTTCAAGGACAAGAATTCCGTCTTCTAGTTCCGAGCCTGATGCTTTAACCCACAGGTATCAAACTCGATTGTGTCACGTGACATATCGTGATATATCACAATGGTTTTTTTGCCTTTGCGGAGCCAAGGTGGATGTGCCCTGTGCATCTGGGCCGCCAGTTTGACAGGCCTGCAACCAGTGGTACTTCATACTAAAGAAAACTATAATAATTGTTTTGATGGAATTCTGTCAAAGCTGTTTGCAATGATGGGGCAAGCAAAAAGAGTTTGATTAATAGGTTCAAATGTTTGATTGTTTGCACAGACATTTCACCTATTTTCTTCATTATTATTGCTGTTTTAATATTGACTATTGTGTTTACCTATAAGTTTTTATATTTAACAATATAAAACTATTTTTTAAAAGCTATTATAATCTTCTACCCAGTATTATTATACCCCAAACATTCATTTAGCTTTGTATGGAAAACCTAGCACATATACTATAGGACAAGGATTCCCAACCTTTGGGTCATGACCAACTACTGGGCTGTGGCCTATTCAGAATTGGGCAGTGTGAGTGTCTGACCATAGCATGTGCGCGCAGCTCAACTTGCTCAAGCAACGGGCCAATTATATGCATGCACACTGGCCCGCTACTCATGCAAGTCAAATTGTGCGCATGCGTGCTGGCCTGCTGCTTGCGCAGCCTAGTTCTCCTCTCCCCACAATAACCAGGCCACCAACTGCCAAGGTTGGGGAATGATCCTGTAGGGCAGTGGTCACCAACTGGTGGGCAGCCCATTGGTGGGCCATGAGAAAATTTTGATAGTCTGCAGAGAAATCTCACCCCCAGAGCACCCCCCCAAAGCAATTAATCCAGGCTGTGCAGGAACACAAGGCTGCACCACCCACATGGCCCGCAGGAACCTTCCCCACCCATTCACTCCTTATCTGGCAAACTTGCCTGCTAAATTGCTATTTTTCCTTTTTTTCCAACCATCAGCTGTTCTGCTGTGCCGGGAGATTTAGATTAACTAGAAAGCACTTCAGTGGTTCCCGAAGTGGGCGGTACTGCCCTCTGGAGGTGATGGGATGCCTTAGGGGGGGGGCGCTAAGAGGCAAGGGGGCTGGCAGGGGGGCGCTAAGAGGCAGCAGGGGGCGCTAGAGGTGGGCCCCTTGCAGGGCAAAATTCAGGGGTGAGAAAAAATCCCGCTGCCACTGCGTTCGGGGCGAGGCCCCGCAGGATCACCCCATTGACTTGCACACTCCAGTGCAAGGGGCTCAATGGGGTAAGCCTGCGGGGCCTTGCCCCGAACGCAGTGTTGGGAAAGGGAAACAAGCCAGAGTGGCTTTGTTCTCCTTTTCAAACGTCCCGCCGCCGCTGCATTTGGGGCGAGGCCGCGAAGGATCACCCCATTGACTTTCACACTCCAGTGCAAGGGGCTCAATGGGGTAAGCCTGCGGGGCCTTGCCCCGAACGCAGTGTTGGGAAAGGAAAACAAGCCAGAGTGGCTTTGTTCTCCTTTTCACACGTGCCGCCACCGCTGCATTTGGGGTGAGGCTCCGAAGGATCACCCCATTGAGCCTCTTGCACCAGAGGGACTTGCCCAAGCAAGTCTGAACAGAGCAGTGTACCAAGTCAATGGGGTGAGCCTGAGAGAGGGAAAGAGAGAGAGGAAAGAGAGAGAGGAAAGAGAGAGAGACAGAGAAAGATAGAAGGAAGAAGAGAAAGAGAAAAGGGACAGAAAGAAAATGGGACAAAGAAAGAGGGGGAGAATGGAAGGAAGGGACAGAAAGTAAAAGAAATAAAGAGGGAGGGAGGGAGGAGAAATATAATGAGATATCTAATCTAGTTCAACCACCTGCTCCAGCAGGTTAGAAGTGTGTGTGTGTGTGTGTGTGTTCCTTGTAATTTACCAGTACATTTTGGTTTTGCCTTCTTCAGAATTGGCACTGTAATACATTGGGGAAAAGTAAATTTTTAGGTTGGAGGTCTGGTCGAATGGATCCTGTTTAAAGCCTCAACAAAATGCGAGAGCTTCCTGATAGTCTTGGCCATGTTTCGTCCACAAAACTTTTAATTAATAGAAGCCAAAGATGTTTCAATGTGGAAAAGGGCTACTAGAATCACTACTAGAACCTAATCAGAGATGCTTTGCCGATTCTAGTCCAATGACCTGCTCCAGCAGGGTTAGAAGTGTGCGTGTGTGCGTGCGTGTGTGTGTGTGTGTGTGTGTGTGTGCATGGCTGTCAAAACTCCAAAAACAGGTCAAGTAGTTCTGGGGAGGCCAGTCATAAATTAAACACTTGCTAAGCAGCCGGCCATTAAATGAGGATCACTTGTATTTGGTTTGCCAGTCACCAAACCACACCCACCCAGTCACGTGACCAGCAAGCCACATCCTCAAATTAGGCCATGCCCACAGAAATTCGAATCCCGCCCCTGGGTGGGGGGCATTGAGGATGAGTTTGTAACGCCAAGAGGGCGGTGGACTGAAAAAGTTTGGGAACCACTGCTTTAGATCTTTGGCTCTACTTAAAAGCAGAACCGAGCCTTCCTTAGGACTGAAGCAGTGCAGACTCAGCTAGCCGATGGTAGAAACACAGATCTATAAGTGAATCTGACTCTGTGAGCAACTCAATCTGCCTGCCTGCTTTGCCTGATTTTGGGTAATAGTTGCTCTCTTTTTTTTTAATAAAACATTCAATATTTACATACATGATGTGTTGTGAGTTAATTTTGTGAGTTTGCTTGCTAGCAAATTTTATGTGACAGGCTCAGGTAGCCGATCTCACAGATCTCTGAATGAATCTGTGAACCTGTGAACAACTCAATCTGCCTGCCTGCTTTGCCTGATTCTGGGGAAAAGTTCTTTTTTCTATAAAAAAAATCAATATTTATATAAATATTTATAATATTTACATACAAGCCACGCCCAGCCAGTCACATAACCACCAAGCCGCACCCACAAATTAGGCCACGCCCACAGAACCAGTTGTTAAGAAATCTGAACCCCACCCCTGCCTCTGTGTGTTTGTGTGTGTGAGAGAGAGAGAGAAGGAAAGAGAGGGGGGGGGGCGAGAGGGAGGGGGAGAGAGAGGTTAGAACAGATCTCTCTCTCTCTCTCTCTCCCACCAACATCAGCAAGCCACTGTCAGTCAAAATTCATATTAGTGGTCCCCGGGATTTAAAATTATGAACTTGGTGGTCTGTGAGGTCAAAAAGGTGGGTGACCCCTGCTGTAAGGAAAAAAACTGTCTTGCTTACTTGCCAGTCTCTCCTTCACTTAAGTGCCAACTAGTACCTAAACCACTAATAAAAACATTTCCTGCTTTCTAAATATAGTTACTCCAAAAAAAGAACTCAAGTTGCAAATCCTTATGTTGTTTCTTCCTGAAAATTTTTATCCACTTTTGTTCAAGCTTTAGTTTTTATCTTGCTTTTGATGTTATTACAAAGAAGGTCTGCCATTTGCCAAAGAGCACCTTAAGACCACATTTGGTGGAATCCGATTAGGTATTTATAACAACAGCACAACTTTGGTTACCATAATAAGTGGGGCTTTTTTTTTAACCCACTCATTGTGCTATGTTTCCCTGAAAATAAGACCCAATTGGAACATAAAACCCTAGCATGGAATTTAACCCTACCCCTCAAATAAGCCCCAATTAAAATCATCAACCAGATGGATGCATTTAGCACAGTATTTCCCTGAAAATAAGACCTAACTGGAAAATAAATCCAAATATGTCTTACAGAGCAAAAATTAAGATAATACCGGGACTTGTTTTTGAGAAAACACGGTAGCATTTCCATCTTGGGAGCAGGTTTGGAGGCAACTGAAAGGGGAATAGAAGGCCTGTTTGCAAAACACTAGGTTTTAAAACTAGTCAAAAATGTGAATGTTTTAGAATAGAGGCAGATAAAATTTTCAAGTTGAAAAAAAAAATCAAAAAGGGAGAAAGAGAGTGTTCTCAGCAAAGAAACACTATTTCTGGGAGGGGGTGGGGAAGAACTGTGAAATATTACCCTGATGGATCAGTCCCTCCACCATCGAGTTATTAATATTTTCAGATGCCCGTGAACTGGTTTTATAAAAACATTACTTGCAGGCTAGAGAGGTCATAAAGAACTTTCCAAAAATGAAAGTAGAAATACAAATTATGAAATCATATATTTGGGCTATGTACTTTTCCAACACTTGCATGGAAAACTAACAAAATTGGTAAAGAAATAAAGGTAGGATATTGGGTTTCAGTAGGTAGTGCTCATCGTATTGTTACTCTATAAAGTGCTGAAAAGCAATCTTTCTTCTAAAGATTAGGATTGCAGTTTAAAAATTTTCCCCAAAGGGATGTGGCAAAATCTAGCATTTCCATAGCTTCCCAAACTATGAATGAGAAGGCTTCATGTTTTTTCTAGCTAGGCACTCCAGACCAAGTGGCGGCCAGGGAAACAGCAGTACAGGAGAATTTTATTTTAAAATGAGTCTCTGTTAAGGGTTTTTTTTGGTGTGTGTGTAAAGCCTTGGACAGAGCTACTATTTACCATTTTACTGCCTAAAGAGACACTTCCATCTGATTACCATGCGCAGCACAAGTTTTCCAATGGTTGGCTAAATTTCCACTGAACTTTCCTTTCTCACGTTCCATCCAATCATCACAATTCTCAAAAACAGAAAAGAAGTTCATCTTTTATTTGCATGAAGGACTTTTCAAAAAGTTAAAAGTGTGTTCGGCATATTATTGTTGTTATTGTTGTTGTCGGTCAGTCAGTCAGTCTGAAATCCAGATTGAGCACCTTACAACATCTAATTGTACAATGAAAACAATAATTTTTTTTTGTCCTTTAATGACCCCGTAATCCCTTACATGCAGCCAGTAAACACGCAGCTCCATTCAGTTACCCAACTTTTATCTGGGTAGAGTTGGGCAACTGAATGCAGCTGAGTGTTTACCGGCCGGATGCCCTTCCTGTCACCAATACAGAGTTCGCAGCAGATAATTATTCATTGTGCCCAGAGAAAGAAATATCTGCCGCTACCGTACCTAGGATTGAACTCACAGCCTCGCACCCCAATGAATGAACAATGTACAATGAAAACGATGAATGCTGTAAAACTAAAAACCACCAATTAACAAAAAGCATGACAGAACCCCCACAAACACCATTAAACCCAGCTCTGGGAATAGAGCCAGGCCTTAAGGACTTCTGGAACCTCAGGGGAGTTGGTGCCATACGTATCTCTGGGGTATGCTGTTCCAGAAGGTGAGGGCGGCAAATATTTTGAATGAAATATTTTATACCTTTAGATTTTGGTCCACAGCTTTCTTCAGATTTTTCAACAAATGATTATTTGGACCTCCTTCTCTCTCGTTGACGTAGACAATTCTATCCAGATCAGGGAAATTTCGATTTAGGTCTATTCCCTGTGCATTACTTCGACCAACAAACCAATCTTTGAGTTCACCTGGCTAAAAAGGAGAAGAAAATATTATGAAACAGCATGGCCATTTTCAATATGAACTGTCGCGATGAATTTAGAGAAATGGCCCACTTAGTTCAGTCTTGTGTATGGGTGGCATACAAGAAATATATGCCAATTATCCTCATACTTGGTTCTTACTGTTACGCCAAACTATGAAAACTGAATAATACAAACATATTCAATACTCAGTTCTGCCATGCCTGCGGAAGACACACTGAAATAAATGGAATGTCAGTTAATGACTAACTGGCACCTCACTCGTTTCAGTGGCTCTACTATATATATGATCAAACGTAAATACCACCCTACATATTAACTATATTTAAACATGGTAGGTATGTTTAATGTTTTTAATGTTGTTACACTGTAAGCCCCCAGCATCATTGAATACCAGATGGGTGGCAAATAAATTTCAAATAAATAATAAAATAATTAAGTTCAATATACCTACCTTCGTATTGAAATGTTGGTACTTCTAAATAGCATAATTTATCAACGCTAGCAAACCTACTGTGTGTACACTAAAACTAACCTGAAAAGATACATGAAGAAAATGCAGCACTTGTTTGAGAGAAAGAGGGAGGGGGAGAGAGAGAGAGAGAGAGAGAGAGAGAGAGAGAGAGAGAGAGAGACTAGCCCAATGTCACTCAGCTTGCCTTATGCTTAGGGTAGAGACAGAAATCGTTTTCCCAGTTACTAGCCTGGTGCCTTAATCACTACACTGGATTGAGTGACCCTATAAATTTAAAGCACATAAAGCAATCAAGTATCACTTGATCAAATCAAACAATCACCTCCAAGGTCCCTTCCAACTCCATTATTCTATGAAATATTGAGCTCCAAAATAAAAACTTCAGAGCAAATACAAAAATAATTATTTTGGAGGAAAAAAAACAACAGCTATTTAAATGTGCAAATTTATTCATAGCCGCCTGAGGGAGCTGTGGTTCTGAACGTTTCTAATCAACATGGCATGTTTTATTACATAAAATGAAAACTGAGATTCATTAATCTAAAGCCATTTTAGATTAATGTAGGTTACGAGCAGAACGTACTTGGAACACAAAGAGTGCTGGCTAGTATACAAGCATCCCATTGGCTACATTACATACAGAATGCCAAGGATCACACAGGGAGGGGGAAGATGAAAAGCTTAATATAGATTACAAATCAATTACAATTATGTGAATACAGGCAACAAATCTAGAAGTAACCCTTGATTTACATCCATTTGTTTAATGACTGTTCAATGTTACAAAAATTGAGTTAAAACCAGTCCTTCCACTTTTGATCATTGCACCAACTCTGGATCACATGATCAACATTTGGAACATTCTGTGAAAATACCTATCCCTATTAGGGTTATAAATTAAAGGCTTATATCACGGGTGTCAAACTCACCCTGTCACGTCGCCATCACGTGACGTTTTGCGACTTTTTATCCTTCGCAGAGCTGGGGTGGGCGTGGCCGGCGCATGGCCTGCGGGGCCGCCAGTCTGATACCCCCTGCCTATCTATATAATATTCAAACGTTGGATTTAAACTACTATCCATCCTAGCTAGCATGATCCAAAGATACGGAAGATGGGAACTCAGATTCAGACAATTTCTGAAAGACTATGATTTCTGCCTCTGATATACATTACATTTCAACTTTAGAAGTGGTAGTCGCTGTGTAAGCAGTTTTCTACCAAAGAACATGCCAAGTCCATCGGGTACTGTTACCCAGGTGGGATGAAGAGGGTAGATTTCTGAGTGAAGGTTATTCTTTTTCTCTGAACTCGTGTTGAAGAAATTCAGATCGGAACACCATCCTGAAGCCCTGCCCCGAAGATTCTTCAGATGCAATCTGCGTGTCGGTCTTTTGAAAGTAGGTCATGCAAATGCAAATATTTGCTTTTGGAATTATGACACACATACCTGTGATGCTGCCTTCTCAAAGCCATCTGGATTCAGAGACGGCATGATGTGGATACGTGTACTGTGGATCAAATTAATGACAGTCTCATTTCCCTTCTGATATTCGTTGCACAAGTATTGAGCCAAGAAGATAAGAAGTTCTCTTCCAACAGCTTCGTTTCCGTGCATGTTGCCAACATATTTAAATTCTGGCTCTCCTAAAACATACAAGAAATGCAAGATTCCCAAATGTGTAGAGATTTAAAAAATGCACAAAAAGCAAATGCAGGACAAATCTATCGGCCCACAATAGAAAGTGTCCTCACATACTTTATAACAGTATGGTACTCTGGTTTAACAGCGGCAGACCGGAAGGCGCTACAGAGAGTGATAAATTTGGCACAGGAAACCATTGGTTGCCCAGAAGACAGGTTGGCAGAAGACATCAAAGCATAACCAGCAGACAAACAGGTCTAAAAACAGCTTCTACCCATGGTTTGTCAACTCCTAAGCACAATCACAATCACTCCACGTACATATGGAAGCATATGACTAGTATCCCCCTCCAATTACTTGTATGAGGATTATATATACATCACTCACGCACCATCACAACATCTCCTGAACCGTAACGCCTGCCAACTTGAAATTTGGCACGTATGTTCCTCTTGGCTTCTAGGTGCTCACTAAGAAAGGATTTTTCCAAATGACCATCAGAGCATTAGTATATCCTATACTATTATTAACACGCTCTGATGCTAAGGAGTTCTATTCCCCCTCCCCAGCTAAAAAAAAATCTCTTCCAAATGCAAAAAAAAAAAAAAAAAAAAAAGCAGTGGAGAGGAGTTTCAGTTTCAGTTTTAGAGCAGCAACCAGCTTTATTACAGAACAATTGAGCTAAGCCACACCCAGGCTCCTTGCTGTCTCCTTCTTGCTCACACAGCAAATAGTATTTCAGTTTCCAAACAGCCCTCAACTCTCTCACACACTGACAGGATGCTAGCCAGATGAATACCAATGGTAGGCAAAAACATATCCCCCCCGCCATTTTCTTCTCCAAAAACTAAGCCCGATCACATAGTTTTGTAGCAAAGCATGGGTATCCAGTTAGTTCTCTCTCAACACTATTCATGTTGTCTTGTATTTTCTGTTATGGATTGCACTAGTAGAGGCTAAACCAATTTCGTTGCAGACATGAAGTTCAATGACAATAACAGCTATAATAATAAATCATAAACACTCTATAATTTCCTTCATTCAATAATCTAAAATCTAACCCATTTTCCCATTTATATTAGGGATGACAAGATTTAGGCTAAGCTCCCTCTACATTTTCAGTCCCCTGTGCTGTATTTTGCACCTCTGCTAAACATTCTGCAAGTCAAGGAATCGTATTGTGCAGCAAGGGAGCAGCAGAGCGATCGGACATCTTGTTCCATGAACAACAATTTTGTTCTCCTCATAGAGGAAAAATAAGGTATCATGCCAATGTATACGAGATCGTACTCCTTTGAACTAAAGCCATAGACAAGTGAAGTGGAAATTGTGTCCTCACACGCATACATAGCTGAGTAATTGAATAAACAGTTTCAATCAGCCTGAGTACAGGTGAAGGATTTAGCAATATGAATGTAGATATGTTCCGCAGAGCATCAATATTTACAGAATGTATAGATGTCCTGAGATCCCAAAATCCAAGTAAGAAGGGTGTATGAGTATGTGGGTGTTTTTGCATTTATCTTTGCTAATCAGAGTAAAATGATATTCTTGGATGAAGGTGAATATTCTCACTTTCTCCATAGATACCACACTGAAACAACGGGAAATAAAACATGACTATATGTTAAGAGTGAATAGGAGTCTATATTTACCAATGAAAATTGGACTTTAAAGAAGCGGAACAGGAAGAGTGCTGCCACCTTTGAATTTTGGTGTGGGTGAAAACTTCTGAGAATACCATGGACAACCCAGAAAACACCGAAACCCAATTCAACCTCAAATTCTGTTTTCACAACAGTTTTAAATAGCATACACTTTTCTTGCAATGGTTCAACTTCCCCAACCCAGGTACCATAAATAACAAGGCATTACAAATACTTGAAGTCAGAATTCGGTGGAGTTGCTATATTCTGTACAAAGTCTCTAACTCTAAAAAAGATTCAGATTATACAAGAGCTTGCTCTTCCCGAGATCATCGTCTGTGAACTGTCCTTAAACACCACAGTCCGCTTCCTACTTTGCTATCGAGCCTGGACTGAAGCATAGTACATAATCGTATGTTACAACATCTTACCAGTTAATGAATATTTCAGCTTTAACAACAAAAACACAAGAGCACACAACAGATATAAACTAAATGTAAACCACTCCAAACTCGATTGCAGGAAGTACGATTTCAGCAACAGAGTGGTCAATGTCTGGAACTCACTACCTGATTCTGTTGTCACCTGCTCAAACCTCCACTCCTTTACCCTTAAACTAACCTCTACTGACCTCACCCCTTTCCTAAGAGGTCTGTAAGGGGCCTGCATAAGCGCACAATTGTGCCTACCGTCTCTGTCCTACTGTCCCCAATTATTAGTTCCTATTTCTTATATTTATACTTATGTTTATTCTTGTTTCTGTTATAGTGTAAGTTTTTGACAAATGGATAAATAAATGAAAATAATAAATAGAATTCTAAATGTTGCTGGGCATGGTTTTGTTTGTTTCAGTAAGGAATGTCCTATCCAAAGATCACTCAAAGAGAAGATGAGGAAGGAATATTGTGTATGTTTGCCACCTTGAGTTTATAAAGTAATAATGCTGGAAGAAACATGTGATAAATAAATAAATAAATCTGTTGGTTCTGTTCTTATTGAAATCAGCAGGGATGAAATTATAACTAACTCCCTTCTCAGGCATCAGGGAACCAACCTTACTATTGTGTTTCTTAGAAAATAAGGCAGGGCCTTATTTTCTTTTGACCCCCCCCCCCCCCAAAAAAAACACTTAGGCCATCTTTTCAAGGGGCGTCCTACTTTTTCCCTCACACGCCTCGCCTGACTCCCGGGCTGCTTCTTTCTCGATGTGCCTTGCTTGACTCCCCACTGGCCAAGCACTGAAGCTCCCCCAGTGCTGCTGGAGGGAGAGAGAGATCCGATCTAACCTCAGAGGGCTGGTGGTAATATTCTCTCTTCCCCTCCCTTCCTCTCTCTCTCTCTCTCTCTCCCTCTCTCTCTCTTTCTCTCTCTCTTTCTCACACCCCCCCCACCCAAGGCAGCCACATTCCTTCACTAATCTGATATCCTGCGATCCCAAGTAAAGAACCATCAATCGGTAGGGAAACAGGGTTGGTGGTGGGGATTTTCCTGCAGATTTGGGGGGGATTTTCCCAGGGGTATCTGCTGCTTCTGCTTTTGGCTGCATGCAAGGAAAACGGCAGACGTCTTTCTTTTTCACCCCCAAACTCCGCCAAAAATGAGTCTTTGAGACCCTGCAAGACATCCTGCTCCAAGAGGCTGCGCCGGCATGACAAGTGTCGCTCTTGTCCAAATTTCACATTTCTTTTGTGTGATCTACTGTTTTTAGCGACACAAAAGTAATGTGTAACTTGGACAAGATGGACGCTATTTAGTAAAAAAAAAAAAAAAATACAGCTTCCACAACTTAGTTACAATCACACAAGGTAGAATATAATTCCATGGATTTTTTTGAAGCAAACTACTTATAACTGGACAGCTTAGTTACATAGGAAGAATTCCAGAAAGTTTCGAAGTAATTCACAATTCAACTCTCAATAGTTTTGTACTAGAAAGTACTAGAACAGGGGTGTCAAACTTGCAGTCTATGAGCCGGATGCATTACGTGCTGGCCACACCCTCCTGTTTAGTGAAGGAGGGAAAAGTCATAATATGTCACATGATGACGTGACACTGCCAAGTTTGACACCCCTGAGCTAGAAGAATTAAGGTTAGTTTTACTGATAAGATTCAGCAAACTAGGTTAAATGGACTTATTTATATCCAGAAACTGGGAGGTGAATTAAATAAAAGCTCAGGCAGTAAAGAAACAGAACACCCACATCCCAGAGAAAGGGTTTTCCAGTTTTGGTTCTATTCCTGGTAAACCAGCCCTCAGATTGAGCTGACTTCATTAGGACTCGTAGGTCTGGAACCATCCTGGGAGGAACCAAAAACCTGCATGTTCCAAAACCCCCTAAGGTTTATTTGTCTTGACTGCAGTCAGCATCACTAGATTTCACTGACATGAAGAGTAGATGGATGCTGCAGCCACACTGCGAGGAAATGTTTTCTCTGTACTTTCACAAATTGCCCCCAAATGCAGCAACAGAAGAATTAAAAATCATTTTAGGGACTTGGAAATCAGACAGCAAAAGGTCTTCATAGCTGTATCAATAAACCTAAGAATTTAGCCACTTAGCATCTTATGAAATACCAGATTCTTTTCAGGTGCTCAGACCCTGAATTTGTGCTGGGCTGATTTAAGTCAAAGATGATTTTCATTCTATCATCTCCAAATGTTTTGCAGGCAAATTTAAATTATTGGTCTTCAAAAAATCAAGGCCACTAGAGACCTTCTGGAGACATGAATATTGGCATGAATATTATCACTAAATTTTCAACACTCACGGACATTTTATTTTGCAAATGATATGCCTCTTTGATTTCAAGCCCTGAAGAATGCTTCTAATGACTGTAAGGGGCTTTGATAGAATACTGTCTTTCTTTGAGACAAAATGTCACCAAAAATGAGACAAAGGATGGATTTAAGAAATACAAGTCTTTGGTTTGGGAGAAAGCTATTAGGCTTCTTGGTTGTTCAGGATATCCTTTCTGATGTAGGCTGGTTTATTCTACAATAAGCAATTTTTTGGGACATGGTGATTCTTAACAGTTTAGCTATTTGCTTATACACAAAATGACTGCTATGGTGTGTCTGGCCCATCACAAAATGCCCAATTCCCAGAGGATAATTTGCTGGTGTCACTTCCTACTATTCATCTATCTTCCACCTACCTCCCCTTCCCTTTCCCCCCCCATGGACAATGCACATATGATGCAAACACTTTTTTTCTAGGAATGCTTAATGAGAAGAGAGAAATACTCATCTTTGTTTTGCTTTTTCATTCCAGCTATTTAATAAATGTTTATTAAAGCGCAAAAGCAGAGCGGCATACGTCAAAGGGCACATCTGAAGGCTTAATGATGTTTGCTGG